AGATCGGATTAAGAGACATCATTTAAGGTAAGTGCTTTAATTAACATTGGGGGATTGGATAAGATTTTTGACTTTAATGTCACTTTAAGGTGCACAGCCAGCCCATTTTAAAATGAATGGGCTTTCTTAATGCAGCTAACCTTAGCATGCGATAGATAACCTGTTGTGGTAATGCTATGCATAGTCTAAATCGACTTAAAACAGCCTTTTGTAACATTTTAGCCTTTGAGAAACCCTTTTATTTTTAGGTCTCGGGGAACACCTGCAAAAACTAATTCATTGGTTGTCAGTGGGAAGAATAGCATTGGCCCTTGACTTGTGCAAGCATTTTCAAATGGGAAGTCAATCAGCCATAGAACCCCTAGCAACCTGTGCAGGAGCCCTGATTGACAATGGCTGGGTTAGGGGGTTCTCCAAACTTATCCAACCTCTGTATATACAGACGTTCCTCTAAATTATCATGAAATGGTGTAAATCCTCTCTGTCATACAACCAATTGGATGTGTAAATCCAGTTGCAATAGAAAAATGACGTATGTGTTCTAGTTGGCAAGTTTTTTTCTCAAATGAAGTCCTAGAGCAGTCTCCTTTTAGACAGTCCGTCTGCTCAGGTCCACCTGGCAGTTTTTCAGGCAGATCTGATTGGAAGCCCAATGTTAGTCTATGCGCAGCCAGATCTAAACATACCTGCTTCTGTTTACATCCTATTACCCCCCAACTCCAGCAAGGTCCGGAAAACCAAATGGAATAGAGACCTGATCTAATGTAAATAGGCACATGTCCGATTATTTACAATTCCCTATAGTCCAGGTAAGTTCCGTTTGCAATGGAGGAAAAAACTGGACCGACATGGATGGACACAGATGCTGTAATCCGTTCCGATCAGCGGGGGATCCAAGCACAGAACCCCTGCTAATTGGAACTGACAGGCGCCCTCGTTTCCATTTCAGAAAGTTGGGGGTTGATGAATATGTGAATGGCTGCATGGGTGGGTATGAATGGGTGAAAAGTATAACATAGACGTTTAGTAATCTGTGTAAGTAGTACCTGTGTGAGTAATAATGTGTGTCATCAGACTTAAATAGTAAAGTCTTCCTGGAAATGTAAAATGTTAGTCATTATTGATGTGTATCTCCCTTGCCGGCAAGTGCAAGTGGCTCAGTCAGCATTCTACTGCTGTTACTACACTGGTTCTTTATTGCTTAACATGAATGCTCTTAGTTCAATTCAAATTATAATGGCTATTCATAAGTTCTTACATTGATATATAACATTTAGTTTTTACAAATAAATATTTAATACACAACAAAGCATTTATCCAATAAGGGATGAGTTCCTCTTCTGACTCAGTCACTGCATGTGAGCAAATTTCAGCTTGAGCTATTGAGCTCTGTAAACAGGCTTTGTATGACAAAAGAGGAAAAGGAAAAGATGCCTGCTGGTTTAAAGGCTACATATTATTTACAAATCTTATGTTTATCTCACTAGAGAAAATGAAAATATTTGTAACATTTTAGTTTTGAAGTCTAACCATAATAAATACAATGGGGGGAATTTATCAAAACGGGAGCAGTCAAAATCTGGAGCAGATTTGCACGGCAGCCAATCAGCTTCTATGTCTCATTTTCAAATTTCAACTGAGCAAACTGAAGAGAGATGCTGATTGGTTGCCATGGGCAACTGCTCCAGTTTCTGTCTGGTCCAGTCTTGATAAATTCCCCCCAATGAGTGGAATTTTTAAAACTGGAGCAGTCGAAATCTGGAGCAGATTTGCACTGCAGCCAATCAGCTTCTATCTCTCATTTTCAAATCTTAACTGAACAAACTGAAAAGAGAAGCTGATTGGTTGCCATAGGCATCTGCTCCAGTTTTGATAAATCCCTCCCACTATGTACATAAGCATAAACTGTTTCTTGTTCAGTCAATGTATTGCTAACTGACACCAGCAAATCATTTTATCCTCCTACCAATGCTGCATACATGTTACTAACGTTTACCTTGTGCTTCCATCAGATCTACTTCAATGGCCAGCTTGAGAAACAGAGAGTGCCAGACTCAAGAATCGTATATACAAATGGATTGTTTGAAAGTATAACAGGAACCATCTGCTCCGTTGTTCCACCATTGTACTCTCCCAAGGCTGTGTGTAGGAGCCACTCAGAAGATTCCCCTTCACCATTGGTTGTTTCTCATTGAAGAACCTGTGCATCGTTGCTTGACTCCTGGCATCATGAGAAAGCCTGGGCACCTAAGGGGTAATTATTGTATCTGCCTTAAGATGAAATGTTTCCATTCTGTATGGTTAAAACTATTTATATATATTTTTGTATACAGGTATTCCTCACTTAACGGCCGAGTTCCGTTCCTACGACCAGGTCGTTAAACGGATTGGTCGTTAAGTGAGGAACTCTATACAGTACTGTACTGCATTAGTACAGTACTGTATAGTGTTGCAGATGTACAGTACCGAACAGTGTACTGTACATCGGGCAATAAAATACCGAGACACGCAGTGAAGATCGGAGGACATCACTTCCGCCGGCGACATGTCGCGCTGACGCGCAAGGTCGGAGGCCGATCGGCGGTCCGTCGTAAGTGCGAGTGGTCGCAAAGAAGGTAAGTCGGTAACTGAGGAATGTCTGTAATTACAAAGTTTTTGTAATCGCACACAGGCATTCTTAATGAATGTCAGAATTAGCTCATCCATTGCTCTTGGTTCAGTAATATGCCCCTCGGGGCAACAGGGCTTGACAATCAGCGTTTAGCTTGGAGTATTTTTTTTTTTTGCATCATTGTGCCAGCAGAATAAACCTGAACTCCATGCAAACAGCTTAATACACTGATGAAATCCATAAAGGGAGCTGCTTTACCTGCCAAAGGATTTGTACTTCTGTCCGTCCCGAGATTTTTACAGCTTTGCCACACTTCATCTGCCTTATCTAGCAGGGCAAGAGAACTGATTTTCTCTGCTGCATTTATTAAAACTTACAAGTCTCCTCCCCATCCTTACCCTGTGTCTAGGCAGTAAAGTAAAAAGCAGCAGACTGAATAGCTCATCTCTCTGTTTTGCTGTATCCCCTCCAATCAGCATGCTGCTTGCACTACAGCAAACTGATTGGCTCCTTGGTTCCTCCCTACCCCGGGCTGAGCTCTGCTGTATAGAGTATTCCACACAACTGATACCAAGTCAAATTCAGGTACTTGCACGTATGCCATTGAAATATGCATTGATGAATACACTGCTCTAAGACCCCATTCACATTGAGCTACATCAAAAAATTTGATTTGAGCTACAGTGCACATTTTGTTGCACTACGTAGCGCTTCTTTTGGCAGTCTATCAAAGCCTATTGGGGCCAAATTGCACAAAATCCAATCGCTTCGTGTGAATGGGGTCTCATTATTCATGTCTTGTATATCTGCCTGGAGTTCAGCTCTAATTTCTGCTGTGTTCTGGTTACATTGTGAGAAATACAGCATGGCCTAGGTAGAATAGTAGGCTGGTTATTGCAATGCTATAGTGTCTCCATGCATTCTTGTATCACAATAAGCAATTGCAAGAAGATTTCTATATAGACTGTGTAGTAGGGTTTTACAAGTATTAATGTATTTGTTCATTATTATTATTATTATTATTATTATTACACAGGATTTATATAGCGCCAACAATTTGCACAGCGCTTTACAATATAAGTAAGACATTGCAATCACAATACAAATCAAGACAAGATGGTGAGGAGGGCCCTGCCCCTGGGGGCTTGCAATCTAAAAGGGAGGGGGAATTGATACATGAGGAGGGAGCTGCGGATGGATGAATTGTTTGAGAACGTGATGGCTGAGCGGTTAGGTTGAGGTGGGATAGGCTTCCCTGAAGAGATGAGTCTTTAGGGAATGCCTAAAGGCAATCAAGGTGGACGAAAGACGGACAGGTTGGGGTAAAGAGTTCCAGAGGATGGGAGAGACTCTAGAGAAGTCCTGGAGGCAAGCATGGGAGGAGTTGACAAGGGAGCTGGAAAGCAGGAGGTCTTGGGATGAGCGGAGTTGACTGTTAGGGTGATACTTTGCGACAAGGTTTGAGATATAGCCGGGGGCGGAGTTATGGATGGCTTTGTAAGCGATTTTTAATGTTTTGAATTTTATCGTTTTGGCGAGTGGAAGCCAGTGCAGGGATTGGCAGAGGGAGGTTGCAGACACTGAGCGGTTGGTCAGGTGAATGAGTCTAGCAGCTGCATTCATGATGGACTGAAGGGGGGATAGCCTCTGTAGTGGAAGGCCAATGAGGAGGGAGTTGCAATAGTCAAAACGAGATATAACAAGTGAGTGGATGAGTAGTTTTTGCGGTGTCATTGGTGAGGAAGGGGCTTATTTTGGAGAGGTTACAAAGGTGAAGGCAGCAGGATTTGGATAGTAATTGAATGTGGGGAAGAAAGGTGAGATCCGAGTCAAGGATGACACCTAGGACCTTGGCATGGGAAGAGGGCTGGATAGTTGTGTTATCAATGATGTCGCAATGCCTTTTTTGGCCACCTTCAGGCATGAATAAAACTATAGCTATGCTTTGGTGTTATTCTGTGTATCGCTAATTAAATAAATAACCATTTCCCCCACTATTTCTAGTTCTGTGATAATGATCCGGTCACCTCCACTTCACCTATACATACATACTGCTGACATGCATATACACTCTTCATTGCATTCCTTAGTAGTCCCCAGTGACGGCCAGTTTGTGCTGACACCATTATTTTGTCCATTGCTGGAACTAGTAGATCCTCTGTTATGGCTAACATGGCCCCACAGATTATTCATTGTTAAGTAAAGGATACACAGTTTTAGACAGTTTGGTTCAGACTGTGCATGTGAATATCTTTAAAATGTAAACGGACCTTTATTTTATCCCAGCTATATAAAGGTTCTAGTTCTGAATGTCAGCTATACACAACTTTCAAATTGCTCACCTAAATAAACTCCAAATAACATACTGTGTATGTATATCATTTTTTAGCGGCAGACTGGAAAGATGGGAGGAGACATGGCAGACCTGCTGATATGCACACTCATCAAGGTATAGCTAATATGTCTGTATTCATATTACCATAGATTAAAGTATATCTATAGTCTACACATTGTAATTATGTATGGAGTGGGGAAGGGTAAAAACCTCTTACGTATTTTTTATATATTGGCTGTGTACCATTGAGGAGATTTCTTTTTATTTCCTGTCCCATAGACAGAACTGGATTTGAAGGGGAATCTCTCCAAAGTCGGGGGAAATCTTAGACCGTTGCAATGGCAACAGGTGTATCCATTGAAAGATTTAGCCCCAATTCCTGTTCTGGTGATGACTGTAAGGCCCCGTTCCCACTGCGCGATATGCAAATCACGCGTTTGTCGTGCGATTTGCATATTGCGCGACATCGCGAGATTTGCCGTGCGATATCGCGTTCAAGCTTGCATTGAGCAAGCTTGAATCGCGGCTAAATTCGCTCCAAAAAGGGTCCTGCTGTAGCGACACACAACCCGCGACAGCAGGACCCTTTGCCTCATTGAAATGCATTGGAGCGCGATATCGCGTGGTAATTTGCCGCGATATCGCGGGAATTACCGTGCGATAAATCGCTCAATGTGAACGGGGCTTAAAATATTGACTTTGCCATAACTTTTTCATTCCTAGTGACAATGAGAGAGCGAATCTTACAAGAGGGGACATAAACAGACAAGAGTTTTAACACTTCTCCCACTCTATCCAACATTTTAAAAGATTTCGGCTTTAGATATACTTTAAATATGTTGTTTGATTTTATTGGACAGTGACAGCTCATCTAGAGGCTGCTAATCAGATAGGACAGTAGACATGGTTCTAGTATTTCTTCTCTGTTACAAACTCCCAATTCTCGGCAGGAATTCACTCGACTATCTCTCCGTTCCCAGATAGATAATGCACATTACATTTTAAAGGGAGTGCAAAGTTGCTTCATTTATTTATTTAGATACATGTGTATGTGCTTGATGGAAATGATCTTATCAGTGTGTTTATTTTTTTTTTTCTACAATGCAAGTCCGAGTCATCTGACTCATGGAAAAGAACGCACTCCCTGTGTGGCGGAAATGTTCTCTCAAAAGTTGTTAAGCTGGCCATGCACTGTAAGATCTTCCTTGTTCAGCCCTGTGGGCCGAATAAGTAATAGTACTCAATTTCCCCAGCCAGGCTAAAGCATGTGGATGGAGGAACCTCCCCTGCCGGGTATTGTATTCTTAAAACCATGGGTGCCGGGTGTCAGAATACAATAGTTACTGTTTGGATGACAATTTTTCACCCTACTCCTTTTCACAAAACTCGATTAGGAAAATTTACTTTTATCGATCTGCATGGTGCCAGCAGGATCACCCATGAATCGGCTGGTTCAGCAGGACACTTCTGACACTCGATCTATGTATGGCCATTTTTAGGCAGAGTAATTGTAATGGCGAACCTACCCTCCCTGTAGTGGCTAGTCAACAAATCACTTTAAAAATTACAAATAAAAGTTGCATAAAAAAATAATTAATGTTAACCCTGTAAAAAAAAAAACGTAAAATATGTAATCCCTAAAAATACACTTTAATTAGTAGTTTCAAGCTCAACATCAGGCACCAGGCTTATTTAGATTTAAAGGGCTTAGTAGTTACCCCATTCTTGTAGTAGTTTAGCCGTCTTTTCTTCTCTTTTAGTTCCCCCAGACAGTAGATCTACCGCTGTACTTCTGACCTCCTGCAGACATCAGTGTCATGTGTATGATAGACACCAGTACTTGGGTTGTGTGTCTATTTACAGAATGCATGCTGACAGGACGCCATTGTTGTGCATGTCTAAAAGTCTAATTGTTTTCAAATGTCTTTGGGCCTCTTAAGTCTGCCTGATGATCTACTGACAGAGTTGGTGTTAAAGGAGAACTATGAGGTGAGTGCTTTTCACTCACCTCATAGTTCTAGCCGACCTGTGACAATGAGAATGTCACAGGTCGGCTCAGTAGAACGGGAAGTGAGCGAACACATACCGGCGTTCGCTCACCTCTCGATCCTGTCACGGCTCTCTGCCGTGACAGGGGAGGGACTGGATCTCCGCTCTGATCCTCCAGCACTGACTGGCGGATCGGACGGGGGAGGGGGCGGGTACAGCTGGCTCTGCCTCTAGATAGGCAGAGCCAGCTGTCACTCACGCAGCTGGGCGGATCCAGACATAATTGTCGGGATGCGTTTCAGCTGCGGCGTCTCAGTATACCGCGAGCTACAGCTCGCGGTATACTGAGCTTAGGGTGACGGGAGGACGCTAGTTTGTGTCCTCCCCTTACCCTAAGGAGAACTATGGGGAAAAGCCCTAACCCCATAGTTCTCCTTTTAATAAGGACCTCATGGTGGTTAAGAGGAGGCCATTATGTATAAAGCAATGGCCTAGCTGGCAAGAAGAACAAAGTACACCTATAATAAGAGAAATGTGGGCCCACCATTGCTGGCCTACTTTAAAAAATGTCAATTACCTGGCTCTGATTTAAATGCTTTGGAATCCTGGAACAAAAATGCAGTAAATGTCAGTGATGTCAGAATTTCCCTATACTTGTTCTGGGTCAGTGACTGTATTGACATGTTAGCATGATCATGATTGACAGAGAATCAACATTGTTAAAATGAAAGGTTAGAAATGGTGGCCTACACAACTCTTATGACAGGTGTACTTTAAAAGCAGTCGGTCAGGATAAAGTAAGGGAGATAGCGTTTCTGATTTGTGTTTGAATAGGAAGCTGGGGGAGGGGGTCCATTTTCCTTATCTTTGTTTTACTACTTAGTGATTCTATGACCTGTAATAGGTATGCAGGCAAGCTGTAGCAACAGTCTTCTGATGTATATATATTGTGGGTCAATAAATCACCGAGGAATGAATCAAGGATATGACATCTATAGTCTGATATGTTATGAGCTCCTTTTGTAGCAGCATTGTTTGCTCGTGATTGAGTGAACACCATGCAATCATTTTCTGTTGGACTACACTGCGTCGTTCTTCCATTATTTTGATTTACTGCTAAGAAATTTAGATTCTATTTGACATCAAGTGTTGTTATTCATTTTTTTTTGTCATGTTGACAGAATGTGACATATAGAAATTGTTGCATTTGGTTCATTACGCACCTTTAGCTTAGTCTTTTTATGGGCCTTAGGCAAGTGTCAAAAATGCTTACCGAGGGACCATAAACCACAACAATGTGCAAAACCTCTAAAAATGTGGGCTTTACCCCTATTTGTGCCACAGCTATAACTATTACAACAGGGCAGTAAACATAGACACAATAGTTTGTTTTGTTTTTTTCTTTTATTTGGGTAAATGTGAATCTCTACCCGATTACTTTTACATGCTATAAAGTACTGCCCCCTCCTGGGACGCACCCCCAGTGGTCCCTGGGTTCACTTGCCTCCTCTATGGGGCAAGTGAACCCTGCTTTGTGTAAACCCAGAAGCACTCTTTTTTTTCTCTGATCACTTCCAGGTTCAGGGCTTTTAAATCCCCACTGCAGTAGCAGGGTAATCAGCAAAAATTAAAGTAAAATAAGTTTAAAAAGAAAAAAACTTTTAAAAGAGCTTTCGCCCTCCCCCTTGCACATACATGCACGTACACTTGCCTAGGATGCAAGTTCTAATGGGGAACACATTTTAGTAAAGTAGAATTTTCAAACCGAAAATAAAAAATGTGTCAGGCTGAAACCTAAAATGTATTTTTTTTCCTAACCTTTTTAAAATTATTATTTTTTAAATAATATTATTTTTTATTTTAATTTAATTTTTTTACTTTACTGTCCGGGGGTCTGGGGAAAGATCAGGCTCTAAACAGACCCCTGATATTTCCCCTTTGAAATAGAAAAAGATTGAGGATTTTCTGCTGCCCCTGTTATGGATGAACAGGAAGCCACTATAGTGAGTGCTTCTGTCCATTCACAAACTGTGGATATAGTATGAGTTACTATGTCCACAATCATGAATGAACAGGAAGTGATGTCGAGCACTTTCTGTTCCTAATTGGGACACAGTAAACATACTATGTCCTCAATTATTTAGAAACTTTCAGTGATCAGCTGAACATTGAGTGCTTGTAACCTCTCGGTCTCCTGTCCATCCTGACTTGCCTGTCACAGGAGGCTGAGCCGGCGATGTGGGGAGGAGAGCTTGTTCTCCTGTCCATCCTGACTTGCCTGTCGCAGGAGGCTGAGCCGGCGATGTGGGGAGGAGAGCTCGGTCTTCTGTGACACCTGACTACTCCCCCGCACTGCTGGCTCAGCCTCCTGTGACAGCTATATCTTCCCTGCACTGCTCTCCATACTGATTTGCTGTCACAGGAGGCCAAGCAGGGCACAAGTAGACCTCGGCCGCCTGTGACACCGACCGCTGACAGCGCTCTCCTCCCCACATCGCTCGGTCTCCTGACAGTTTTTCTCCTCCCCACTGGACGCTGCTCTGTGTCAGAGGGGACTCGTAGGAGCACCCAGCAGCGAGGAGAGAAACTATGGATGTACCACAATTTCAGCCGAAAAATGGTAATTTAGGCATTTTGCTATACGATATGTATTGGTGGCCGAAATTTCAGTGCATCCATAAATATTAGCTATCCCCACGCACCAAAGGTAGAGGAATCATTTTAGGGCCATCATGTATGGTTACATTTGTTGTGGTTTTTTTTCACTAAATGTTTACATTTCATAAACATTAGCACACTTATCACGCAACATACAATTGAGCCTCCTATTTTTTTATTTTATAGGTCCTTTGATTTGTTAAACATGGTTTTATGGGCTTTTAATGAATGTTCAAGTTGACAATATGCCTTTATAGCATGTGTGTAAAAACAAAAAAATGTAAATGTTGGTCCAGCAGTGGAAGGCTTATATTTACATAAGGGTATTTGCAGAAATTTGATCCACATACCTTTTGTCATATGTTTGCAAAACAAATAAGAAAACGAGGGGCCAAAGACAGATCATAGCAGTGCACATAAATGAAACTGGATGCGAGTATGGATGTTATGTCCACATTGATAAAACAGAAAAGGGATTTGATATAAATACGTAAACGGTCTATATAGTGAATTTGTTGCAACATTATTTGCTCTAAGGTCATTGGAAAGGGGGTATTCTTTGCATCAGAAGGAAAACATGTTTTCTGCCTTCCCCTGGATCAACTGTGGCTTTTGAGGTTTTTTTGGTTGAACTAGATGGAATTTGTTTCTTTATTTAAGCTTGTATCTATCTACCGTAGTATTTACTATATAATGTTCCTGTTTAGGTCACTTCAGCTGGGAAAAATACCTGAAGGAGACAGGATCTCAACCGGGCCCAACGCATTGCTTCAGACAGGTGAGATGCTTGAAAAGTGAAGCTGCCACAAAGGCTACAGCACATGTGTCAAACTCAAGGCCCAGGGGCCGAATCCAGCCCACCAGGCCATTTCCTAGACTTCTACTTTCAGATCTAGATATTAAGTTATTACTAAAACCAGTGATAATGGAATGCAGAGGCAATTATGATAAAGATTAGATACATTTATATAATCTTACAGATACATTTGAGGGCAACCATAATGTTGATGCGGCCCACGAATAAATTGAGTTTGACACCCCTGGGCTACAGGGTCATGGTAATAAACATGCCCTGAAAATGGAGTGTTTACAGGTTTAAATGGAAAAAGACCTAAAAAGTCTTTTTAAAAACCAAAGTTAGTGTTCCTATTACTGCAAGTTTCCTTTTTAATTGCTCAATCAAGAATACTGGTTGTCTGACTGTCTCTAGTTTCAGTACTTTCTTTGCATGCAGGTCAGGAGGAACAAGACCTCCTGACCCACATACTTTTTCCAGGTCAGTGCCTCAGAAAGCCATTGGCTCAACATAATGGCCGAGTAAGTAATATTTTTAGAAGTTGAGGTCAGCAGTGCACTCTCCATTTTCTCTCAACAGCCTTGTGCGAGACTATAATGATGTATGTGGTGTCAGCATGCTGACTGCTTCCTCAAAAAAAATGTTTGCTTCTATTAATCAAATGTTTTACTCGCCTTTCCCAGTCCGGTTCTCCACCCTCCAATGATTACAAGATTGGAATGAAGCTAGAGGCCCAGGACCCTAGGAACACAACCTCCACTTGCATTGCCTCTGTGGTAGGTCTCACAGGAGCTCGGCTAAGACTGCGCCTTGATGGAAGCGATAACAAAAATGACTTCTGGAGACTGGTGGATTCATCAGAGATTCAGCCCATTGGCACTTGTGAAAAGAGTGGGGGCATGTTACAGCCCCCATTAGGTGTGTATTTCATACTTTCAGCAAGTGTAGAAAACTGAAACAAAACCCAGCACTTTGTTCATACTACAGCTAGCCAGAATTTTGTAACTTTTGTTAGCCTGACAAATAATGTTTAAATGTAGAGGTTACTGCAAAATACTTGAAAGCTGTATGCCAGGCTAGCAGCTATATACACAGTGGAAATACATAGATATGAACTGTTTTATCTGCCAATGGATTTGTAATTCTGTTCAGCAGTTTTGATCCTGACCCCTCTGGCAGACTGACTAGCCACAGACCCTTTGCAGACTATACTGAAGTGAAGCAAGGAAGCTTGGTCTAAGGTGTGCTCACGTCTGTGATCATTGGATAATGAAAGAGCAGCAGCACACCAATGAGGTCACCCCTGTGCTCTTTCCTCCTTTAAGCATGTTCCCTGTGATTAGACTGATAACACTATAAAAAGCAAGAGAGGTCTACTTTCCCCTTCCTCCCAATAGGTGCTGCTGTACATGGGATTGCAGGAGACTGGTATAAAGTCAGCTTATGCTAGTTTTATGTAAAATACATGTACTAATTATGTACAGCACTGAAGCACTTCCAGGTGCATTGGATGCATGTTCCCTTGCCTTACTGTGTTGTTCCACCTGCCGGCTGCTGCATCATTATTGTGTCCTATAGTGATGTAACAGGAGGCAGGTCGCCGCCACCTGTATGCGTAAACAAGTAATCCACAGGGGAAGGGTGACGCAGCTGCAGGCTATGTGGCTGTCCAAGATGTGAAATGCTGAAGGGAGGTTGAGATGTGGCTACAGGAGTAACGTGACTGAAGAGGGTGTGATGGAAGGTGGGAGTGGGATTGAAATATTGCTGAAGTGAGGGAAATGATGTGGCTGTGGGAGGCCTGTGGCTCTGTGGCTGCAGGAGGTGAGATGTGTTTTCAGTGGGTGAAATGTTAATGTGGGTGGTGGAGATATGGCTGCTGGCTGTGAGATTGTAGGGGATGTGTATATATATAAAATAATGGGTAGTCCGTGACTTAGTCTTTTTTTCTTTTTTAGGTTTTAGGCTTAATGCTTCCTCGTGGCCCATGTTTCTCCTGAAGACCTTAAACGGGGCTGAGATGGCACCTGCCAAAACATTTCACAAGGTACACCTAAAACTCAGTTGTTCAATATTTTCAGTGTTCTCAATGGCAGTTGAGCTATTTTATTTTTCTTACTAGCTCTATGAATTATTCTGTCTTTGAAGCAACATGTGCTACATTGACCGAAATGTTCCAGCTTGCTGGAAGATTTTTGCAACAGATACTGTCAGTTTTCATTGCTGCTTGTATTGTCACTCATTGCATAATGACATCTCTAGAGAATATTAAATCATGTATAACAAGCATTACCCAGAATGCCTCAGTTTTTTAATAGTGTCTCAGAAGGTTAAAAGTGTTTTCTTTAGCTCTGTTAAACTTTTTGCTAGCCTTCTTTGCGTCTTTTTTTTCCCCCTGTAACTTCAGTCAAGATTGTCTTGCTGACACTGCTGATTGAGCTGGTCTCAGTAGCAGCTATCCAGAGGTGGTTTCCTTAGCCCAGCTTTAGAGGCCATAACTAGACCCCGCTGGAATGTGACCTTCGGTCACTGGGCCTCGGCACTGTGGCATTTTTCAGACCTGAGTGAACTGTGTTAGTCACAGAGTGATTTCCAGGTCCAGCTGTGGCACAACCCTAGATGGGACCCTGTCTATGAAGACTCGCTGCTAGTAAGGCAGTTTGGGATAAAGCAACTGGTGCTGCCTCGCTGTTTGCACTGTTGGGCGACTTTCAGCCACCGCTGATTTTATTTCGGGAAAGATTGAGGCCGAGTGACTGAGTGCTGATGTGTGTCTCTCCCTCCCACCAACTAACTGATAATGAGAATAGTTGCCAACTATTCTCATAATCAATTATTGATTTAATTGATTAGTTGTTGCTGCCCTAGTGCCATCCCCTGCAAAGTCCTTCTTTGATCCTCCTGAGCCATTAAACCAAGACGGGCCTGCAGTCCCTCTCACCATCTCAGACTCTCATTCGAGGCCCTAACAGTCACTCCCTGAAAAGACTGTTTTTGAGGCACAATCTCACAGTCCCAATCTCCTGCTGCTGACTCAGATTTATAGGGGGATGTTTCAAACTTTAATTGCTGTGTGGATTACTCTGCATTTGGAGGATCAACCTGCTGTTCCAGGCCTGGAATCCTTTAAAGCTCCTACAGCTGCTACAACCGTTATTTGAGACGTTCCTCTACGCAGACTGGAAACTCCCTATAGGGTCCTGGGCTTCCCCTTGTGGATGTCGAAACGATTCCCTTTTGATAAGGAATTTTTAGATCTGTGGTCTGTTCTAGGGCTGCAACAACTAATCGACATAATCGATTATAATCGATTATTGAAAAAGTTGTCAACTTTTTCAATAATCGATTAATCGGCTTCCGATCAGTTGGCCCTGTTCACAGCTCCACACGCTGTGCGCCGCAGCTCCTCCCCACCTCAAGCTCGCCGCTGCCAGACCCGCTCGCATCCACTCTCCACACGCCACACCTCCTCCCCGCCTCACATTTCCTGCCCATCCACGATCGGCAAGGCACGCGGGGAGATGTAGTATGGAGGAGCAGGGGTGGGGGGATGACAGCCGCCGATAGACAGGTCCGATCTCAGAAGCAAGTTGCTGGAAGACTGCTCAGGTAAGCCTGCACTCCCGCACTCCCCCCCACATGGTGCTCTATAATGTATTGCTGGGATTTGTATTTCTCTATAGCTGATGGTACATTGTACTGTACATTATACATGGGAATACAAATACCAGCAATGCATTATACACTGTATGTATAATGTATTGCTGGGATTTGTTGTACTCCTATATAGCTGGTGGTATAATGCATTGCGCTGTATAGAGGACTACAAGTCCCAGCAATAATACATTATACAGTGCAATGCGGAATACCACCAGCTATAGAGGACTACAACAAATCCCAGCAATAGTACATTATAAAGTGGTACAATGCTAAATACCACCATCTATAAAGGACTACAAAACCCAGCAATAGTACATTATACAGCGCAATGCTGAATGCCGCCAGCTATTATGTACTATTGCTGGGATTTGTTGTATTCCTCTATAGCTGGCGGTATTCTGCATTGCGCTGTATAATGTGCTTTTGCTGGGTTTTGTAGTCCTCTATAGCCGGTGCCATTCTGCATTCATTGCTGTATAATTTTACACTTTCCATTTCACTATATTGCACACCACACTATCTTTTTTCTTTTTTACTTCCACCGGTCCAAGCTTGCTCCTGTGATGGACTACAACCTCAATACAAACTAGTAGTCCTATCACTGGAGCCATTTTTTAAACTTTATTTTATTGTTTATCCGATTAACCGATTAATCGAACTTAATAATCGGCTAACTAATCGATTTTGAAAATAATCGTTAGCTGCAGCTCTAGTCTGTTCCCAGTACAAATACACCGGTGACCCACTTAATGGGAATACTACTAGACTGGTTGAGGGTGTGTTTACCTGATATGCAGGTAAAGTAAAAGCTCGGCACAAATCAACTGGGTTGGCCCCCTATACTATTTTGGCAGTAACTTTTTAATCTGACATACTGTGACAGAATTAATATATGCCCTTAAGAACGACCACCCCACCACCAAGGTAGGCCCATGTTTTATAGAATGTCTGGAGCCTTGTGCTTAAGTTGCAGTGGCCTCTTAAAAGCATCTAAGCTTGTTTCCTGCATTGGACTGATGTCCATACAGATGCACAGAGCACTGTGGCTGCATGGATGGGATGTTGACCCTGCATCCAAGGAGCCTCTGACTTGTTTATCCTTCCAGGGACTTGCTTCTTCAGCCCTTTTCTTGATACCATGATTAAGTGCTGCTGAGCCATCACCTTTGGGGAGGTTTGGGAGTCTTCCCTGTGACAGGACATGTGGCCTGGTCCCTACAATGGACAACACTGAGATTACTACTTTTCAACTTGTTTTCGTTACAGACATTGTATTGGTATCTGTCTTTTCCTCTGTCTGTAGTCATTGCACAGAAGAGAGAGGTTTGCGCACCGTGGTGCTCTTCATTTTCTGCATGGAAGGAACAAATAATAGCTGAAGGACTGCGTGTTTCCCTTAATTCGCTGCAGGAAGAGCATGTTTAAAGCCTGTTAAAGATACCTCTGCTGTGGTTTGAGCACGTCCGTAAGCCTTCATGAATCCCAATCGCACAGAGATGGGTCCTTCTTTTGTGGCTGATCTGCAGTCTTTAAAGGAAGTTTCTTCAAATCTCTGCGGTTCTGCCTTTATTTAAGTAACTGTTCTTGGCACTGTGGCAAAAGTTCCTTCACTTCACTCCACTCCAGGACTATGTATGCTTCACTGGGTCGGGGTGGGTAACGGAGATTCTTAGAACCACATTCTGTGCTTAAGGTAAAGCAGGTCTTGCAGAGTCCTCTGTCGGGTCCCAGAGACACCTCCAGGTATTAAAGTGGATATTTTTTTTTGCTCATACTCCTAGTTTTCTGGTGTTCCCTTTACACTAGTGTGGGGCGGTTGTTGTTACCCTTCATCCCTGCCTAATCTTGTAGGGGTACTTCTTGTGCACCCTTCCCTTTTTTCAGTCCGCTGACTTTGATTGGTACCACTGAGTTCTTTACCGGTCTCGGAGGTGGATCGCTTGGCTATCCTTATAGGATATTATGCTGTAAGGATTTTCACATTTCTTTCGATATTTTATTGTGAGATTGGTTGCCTGGCCAGGAAACCTTTATTTTTATCATGGATTCAAAGGGTTGGAAGTCTAAGGCTTGGGCCTTCCCATGAGGACCATCTAGTGGTCTTTTGTGTACCTGGTTTTTGTCCAATTTTCCCTTCAGGGACTTGTCTTAGTGTTTTTTTTCTGTTGACCAAGTCACATTGTTCTATTCCTTTCTTTTCAGGTACTTGTGTTGTTTCCACCTGTTTTGGTGCACTATTGGTTTCACAGCTTCTTGTGGGTTCAGACTCCAGTGTTCTGTCCTTCTCTTGAGCATCAGATTGGTCCTCTCTGGCCTTCCCCCAGTCATTGACCATGTCTTGCAAGAGATTGCAAGGATCAAAAAAAGATATTTGTATTTACCGAAAAATCTATTCCAAGGAGTCCATTTAGGGACACTGGTCCCACCCCTTTGTGTTTTTTGCTTGCCCTTGGTACTGCTTTTCCACAAAACTGAGTCATTTTGGGTAGAGGGGTGTTATGCAGGGGCTGGCTTACAGTTTTTCTGTTCACCAGTGTCCTAACCTTCTGTACACGGCAGTATAACCCAACTTTTTCTGAAATCCTGTCTGTCAATGGACTCCAATAAGTAGATTTTACAAGTGATAATGTCTTTATTTTCCTGCGGTTTACAATGTAGAAAACAGGCCTCTAATAATTGATATAAATCATTTACATGAATGCTTGATTTTACAGGAGCCTCCTTCTCCAGCCCAGAACCATTTTGAGGTAGGAATGAAACTGGAGGCTGTGGACAGGAAAAATCCACATTTTATTTGCCCAGCTACCATTGGGGAGGTAAGAGGCAGTGAAATCCTTGTGACCTTTGATGGATGGAGAGGTGCATTCGATTACTGGTGTCGATATGACTCCCGGGACATCTTTCCTGTTGGATGGTGTTCTTTAACTGGGGACAACTTGCAGCCTCCAGGGACTAAAGGTACGGAATCTTCAATGCAAAAATAAGTGGTTAAGCCTATCTGGTAATACTGTGCTTTTAGTTGCATATTCATACTTTGCTATATAGAGGGTTTTTTTTTTAAGGATGTGGATATATTTCTTCAACAGTGAAACAATAGTACAGGAGTAACATGATATACAGCTTATGGTCTGAAAAGGTAGTATTTAGCGATATAGGAAATAATGGCATAGTACACATATCTGAGGCCATGTGCAGTGTACACACATCTGAACTTGTGAAAGCACCATGTAGGACTGGGGTGGGGAGATTTTTTAGGCTAGCCAGTTGTCCTTGGAAAGCAAGTATGGATCTATCCTGTCACGGCTCTCTGCTGTGACGGGAGGGACTGGGTTACCCCCTCCCCGCTCCGATCCTCCAGCGCTGACTGGCGGAACGGACGGGGGAGGGTACAGCTGGCTCTGCCTCTAGATAGGCAGAGCCAGCTGCCACTCACGCAGCTGGGCGGATCCAGACATAAATGTCGGGATCCGTTTCAGCTGCGGCGTCTTGGCATACCGCGAGCTGTACTGAGCTTAGGGTGACGGGAGGACGCTAGTTTGTGTCCTCCCGTTACCCTTAGGAGAACTATAGGGAAAAGCCTTAACCCCATAGTTCTCCTTTAACTTGTTAAATATGTCACCAGCACACCATTTTGAAGTGAAGAACCCGTCTGTTTATTGACTCATGTAAAAAAAAAATAGCAACGTTTTTGTGGCCACATGAAGCCTGATAAGGGGTCCCTGTGTGGCCCCGAAACGTTGCTATTTGTTTTGACATGAATTGTCAATAAACAGACCTGTTCGTCACTTCAGTATGGTGCGCTGGTGACATCTTTAACAAATATTGTTGCTTTGGGTCCCTTTCATTTTTGTGTATGACACAACTGGCTGTTCCAATACCAGCAGCCTTTACATTCTTATTTTTTTTACAGCTTATGTCTTTAGGATAGTATCCAGTAGGAGTGTACTTAGAGGAGGAGAAGGGGGGGCTGTTGTGTGTTACTTGAAAAAGAGATCCTTGGCATGTCTTTGGATGTACTTGTTCATTGCTCATCCCTGCATACTTTGTTTACTCTGCCTTAGGAGGATGTGCATCTGTGGAAATGCAGGGGATGCCTTTTTTGATGTAACGCTGTATGAATCCCATGTCTGAAAAGAGGGATTATAAGCACATTTGAACTGGGACTCTGATGATCCTTTATGATGCCAGTAAATCTCTCAGTAGGCACAGAAAAGCGCAACACCTGCCTAATTTGACTAATTCTATAAAAGGTCATTTGGGTGTCACTTTTTCCTGCATGAGGTGTATTGTTTGTGCCAACACAAACCCCATTTTATATTTTATCTCCGCAGAGTCCAGTACTCCTTTTGTATATATCTGCTTTCTTATAACTCCTTTTCTGCTTACTCTGCGTCTGCTTGTTAATACTTTTCTTTTTTTTCATGGCTTTTTATATTTAGTAGCTTATCAATGTTTTTTTCGTCTCTGTTTCCACTTAGTGGCTATTCCAAAAAGTCCGGCTCCCGCTGCTGGTTTGGCCTCTGGTATTCTGCGAGGTCCCAGAAACTTAGTTTCAGGGGTACCCGGTCGAAGGCGTCGAAAGCCAGGAAGGAAGAAGGGTCAGGTGCCAAAGGCTCTCACCCATCAGTTGACAGGACAACCACCCAACCTTAACGAACCTTTCCGTTTCCCTAAGAAGAGGGGTCCCAAACCAGGAAGCAAGGTATATATTTTTCTATATGCTTAATGTATAACTCTAACCTTTTGAGAAGGGCAGGGATTGAACATTTACATATAGAAAAGATCTCCACTAATGCCTGATCTGTGGACTACGAGCTTCCCGCTTTTGTCTTCAACTTGTGCAAGAGATGGAGATTTGCTAACATTACAAAGATTGCAAATCCGTATGTAATGGATGGAAGTGTGCCATAGCTTGCAACTGAAAATCTTCACACTGGCAGCATAGAAGTAAGTGTACACAAAAACCTTACATTCACCTCAATATGACACAAAGATGTTTGTTACTGGAGCCTTCTTTAATATGAGATATGCAGACCTTGTGTCACAAACTGGGATGTGGAACCTGCTCCTCTATGTGAGGGGGGGGTAGCTGGTGTTTCGCTAGGAACTTGCCAATGAGGAGTAGGGTTGGTGCTAAGTAACAGGCAACTGGTGCATGAGAGAAGTACAAGTGGCTGTACAGCTGGAGACTGAGTGTAGAGATGGCCCAGTGAAGATTTAGAGTGTGAATGCAGCAGGATCTGCAAGTGCAAAGAAGTCGAAGCTGAGGCTGTGGTCACGACTGAGGTGCTGAGGGTGCTCCTGGACCACTGAGGAGCAGCAAACTGAGGCTGGGTGCAGCGGAGACTTAGGCTGTAGGTGCAGCAGTGGCTGAACTGCGGGTGCAAAAAAGACTTTGGCTGCAGGTGCAGCAGTGGCTGGGCTGAAAGTTAAGTGGAAACTTAGGCTGGGGTGCTTTGTTAAAGCAGTATGCAAAACCATTTCGGTAGCTAGTTCAGGGATCATTTACACACTTTGCTACGTGGTAGCTGGTGTTTTGCCAGGGAGATGGCTCAGCAGGGGCTCAGCCTATGGATGTAACAGGACCTGTAGATTGTGGGTTCAATGAGGAGGAGTGGAATCTGCAAGAAATACATGCCAAAACGTACTGCCTGTGAAGCTTGGAAGCTATTCTTTCATCGCTGTATAGCATCATTTTATGCATATGTCAGAACAATCAGATGGAGTCAGGTGAACTTCTAACAATCTACCTTAATTATCTTACACATTTCTAAAGAAATTTTACTTTAGATATCTGTCTTAAAGTTTTTATTTAAAAAAAATGTCTTACTCCATTGTCCATTGGGGGATGCAGGAAATTGTAACCTTTGGCTTATACTGCCACTAACAGGAGGATTGGACACTGGCAAACAAAAAGATTACTATTACTGCTAGAGCTGGTCTCTACTTTGCATTTGCAAACTCTAGTCAGACCACTAGGTGCATTTAAAATACCCGCTTTTTGCTGCGCACTACCAATAAGGGATGCACTGTGCGGGACCGAAGTACTGTTGTCATGCACTGGGTGGAGTGTTACGCACACATGCTTTACGCTTTTTTTTTTTTCCTGCTGTTCAGCATAGAGGAAGCATCACCCCACTGTTTTTAATGCTCTGCAAAGAGCCATGTCGAACTCCATTCTTTAGTCAGTTCCTACTGCCCGCAGTCACTACAGCAGTCACCTCTGGCCTCCAACCCTCACCTGCTACCAAAGGTTTGGTTTGTTGGTTTCGAAGATCTGGCCAATTCCTTGAGCTCGTGTTGCCTTAATGCCAATTACGCAGTCCCAGGTGTTCTAGATCACACTCTAATGGACTGGGGAGAAGTTCTGAGCACGCTGTCAGTGCAGATGAACTTCATGTTGCAGCCTTGTCCGCCATCCAAATACCAGACGTAGACAGTTGGCAGGCAGACTGTCTTAAACTGGGGGATAGGTCCCTAAACCTGTAGGTGTTCCAGGGCCTGTGTTACAGGTATAGGTGGTGGCAGATGGGGACCTTTTGGCCTCCAGGTTCTTCTTCCTCGGCTGCTATGCAGTTAAGATGAAAGGCATTCTGGTGATCCTCATTGCTCCGAATTGGCACAGGCAGATGTGGTATTCTGACCTGATAGGACTCCTAGTGAATGAAAGACATACTTCACTTGGTGGCTTCACTTGGGACTTTCCCCATAGGAGGTTCTTCCCCGTGGGATGAATCCTCTCCTTCCTGCAGTTGGGTTTAGACCAGCATTTGACTTTTAGCATTAAGGGTGAGGTTTCTTATCCTTAATGCTTTTTTTCAGTGCCCTTTTGGCTTCTCAGTTCTTGATTAAGACCTTTGGTCTCCCATGCAGCCCCCCACCTATTTGTACTCCTGTGTTTCCATGGGATTAGCTTGTCATTCCACCTTCCATAGGTGGCTCACTCAGACAGCCCATCATTCAAGACTATGGAATCAAGGATCGGATTCGTCAAGGTGCATTCTGCTAGATCTCTGAGTGCTTCTTGGACGACTCTACATCAAGCAGCTGTTTCCCAGATTTGCAAGGCTGCCATCTGGGACATTCGCATGTTCTCTAAGTTCTACCAGATTGATGTTTAGGCCTCATCTGATGTTCGCTCCCAGAATAAGGTCTTTCAGGTGGCCTTTAGAGCTGCAATCATTCCCCAGTTCTGTTTTGTTCTTTTGGACCTGTTAGCATTTGTTTTTATGTTGGCCACCCTTCAGTTGGGTTGCTTTAGGAGTGCCGAAGGTTAAGACTATCCTATGTTCCTTAATGGACATGAAAGAAAATAGGGTTTTTGTGATCATTGTTCCACCACTCTGTGTTTTGATCATGCTCTTAGTACTTCTTTGCTACAAAACAGGCATGCTGATAGTAGGAGGGGCTATTCTGGGCTGGCCTATCAATTTTTGTTTGTTTGCCAGTGTCCAGTTGTCTGGTAGGTAACAGTATGACCCGAAGGTTAAGACTTCCTGTGTCCCTTAATGGAATACAAGAAAATGATTTTAGTGTAGTAAATGATGGGGCTACAAACAAATTTGGACCTTACTGATAATTTAACATTCTTATTGTTTGTTAGAGGAAACCTCGGGTTTTGCTGAACCAAGTTCCTACTTCTCCAACAAATAGTACTCCAGAACCAGACACCAGCACTGTACCACAGGACGCTGCCACCATTCCATGTGCTGCGATGCAGGCCCCTACAGGTAAATGGAGAATTATTCACTCATGTTGAATATCAAAAGCATTTCTTGTACTTGTAACTACACATTTAAAATGTAAAAAAAACCCTACCTAGAACATACCTGTATTCAGGTTTTCTTGATGGCCCATGTCCCTCCGCTGGTTATTACCTTCCCCAAAAATGCTGCCAATGGGGAGCAGTGGTGGCATATGTTAGGTCCTGCCATCAACCCAAAAAGCAAGTTAGTAGCATTCATCAGCCAGAAATCTATCTGTTACTGCAATCTCCATCCTGAGCATTACTAAAGCCAGCTCAGTTGGATTAATTGGTTAAAAAAAGACTCATCACCTTAACAAACCTGTAGTAAGGAAATATGGAAGCTGCTGTTGCTGACCATCTTTTGTGGACAAACTAGTTCACTTGCTGCCCATGCTTAACCAATGTGTATTTTCTAAATCACTGACCCAGTTTTAAGTTTATCAAACAAAGAAAAGAAAAGGTATTCAAGTGTTTTGAATAGGCTTAACTTGTTTATTTTTTGTCCTTAGTTTGCATTTACCTAAACAAAAATGGAGATTCTGGCCCTCACCTTGACCGGAAGAAAGTTCAGCACCTTCCAGACCACTTTGGACCTGCCCGGGCATCTGTTGTACTACAGCAAGCAATACAGGCCTGCATAGACTGTGCATACCACCAGAAAACAGTCTTCAGCTTCCTCAAGCAGGGTCATGGGGGGGAAGTTATATCCGGTGAGTCCTGTTTAATTGTTAGTACAGAAACCTCATGTTAGAACATTCTAAATTGCTTGATTCCAAAATAGATGCCTTCATCAAATAATGTGTTCAGTAGCAGTAAAGACTTGGTAATGAACCAATAATGGTAATGGTAATTGAACTGTATTGATTGCACACCAATGTAATATTTATGCATTAAATTGAATATTTTCACAAGGAAATCATCTTTCTATAAAATAAAGAGCATGGTAAAATATTCCATTCACCTTCCATTCCAAGAAGGTTGACTGTTAAAGTGAACATGAACTCCATTGTGAGCTTGTAAAGGAGCCATTGTCACACTATGAAGCTATTGCCTTCATTAGCCAGAAAAGCCCCTCTCTAGTTTAGTTTCACTTACTAGGGCCTGACTTTGAAAAGTGAATTCCTGCCTAAGAGGAGACACCACAAGATGCTACTGTTATTTTTGTTTGCTTTCTTACTGGTGCCTTATTTACCCCGACTTCATGGCGGCACTATGAAAACTGACACCCCTCCTCCGTCCAATGAGACTTTCTCAGTGACCACTCTTATTTAAAAAAAGGATGGCAGAAGGCAGTTTAGCTATGAATCAGGGAAAGTGCAGCACCAGTAAGAAAGTGAAACAAAATCGGAGGGACCCAGAAGATTTGATGGCTAATAAAGATAATAGCAACATTACCATTCACAGTTTAAAATGGAGTATAATACTACTTTTAAAGTTTTATCATTTAAATTATTACCTTTAGGGCTTGACACACCATTTGGCCTAAATAACCAGTACAATTAAAGCTGAACGTTAGGGAATAATAGAACTACCCTTGCAGTGGGGCTCCCACCACATTGCAAGGGTTAAATGCTTGTTTTTGCATTAAAAAGCGGGTTACAATTCTGTGTTGTGGGTGGGCCCTCAGCGTCTTTCCTTAAAATGCAGGACTGCAGTTCCTGCATTGTACATGATGACGTTGGAGTGCAAAAGTGAAGTGGCTTTGCAGGACCCAGTCACACGGAAGGGGGGAAGCTTGTGAGAGTGAGGGAAAAGGTAACTAAAACTGCATTTAAAGGTACCCTAGATAGAAACGAGCGTTTAGCCCTTGCAGTGCAAGCGTGAACCCATTGCAGATTTTATTGTTCCCTAGAGTTCTGTTTTAAACATTTACATCTGTGGCTTAAAGTGACACTAACAAGGGACTATTAACAAAAATGGATCTTATTTGTGTATCACTCGGCTGTAGATCCTCAAATCATCTCTGAATTCATGCTGACACCGTCCTTCCTTATGGAGGGTGGATACTTTTTGTTCTCCGTGGTCCCAAGCTCGCTCCTGTGATTGATTATAATTTCAATGCAAATTAGTGGTGAGATTGTAGTCCATCACAGGAGTGAGCTTGGAGCGGTGACTACTGTACAACACACACAGGGACCATGTGGAACAAAGGTAGCCACCCTCCAGAAGGAAGGACAGTGTCGGCACCAAGTCAGAGATGATTTGAGGATCTACAGCCGAGTGATGCACAAATAAGATACATTTATGTTAATAGTGAAGGTACTTGAATGCATTTTTAAGATTTAACTCCTGAGTTTAGTGTCACTTTAATTTTCTCAGGTTTGGTAGATTGGTCTGCCTGGTTGCTATACTTTTAGTATTTCTAAATTGCCGCTAGTGATCAGGATAAGTAGTGGATGGTAGTCATTGGTCTCTGTAACTTTCTTTTAAACTAGTCCCCACGGACCATAGCACTTCAAGGCCTACCTTTTGTAAAGCTATTCATCCAACCATGGCGATGAGTATTACCTTTTGGAACCATGCTGTTACTTTTTATTTTTAGTGTTAAATTTGCATCTTCTCTTTCTAGCTGTATTTGAGAGGGAACAACATACACTGAACCTTCCAGCGGTGAACAGTATTGGTTATGTTCTTCGTTTTCTGGAGAAACTATGTCGGAATCTACATAGTGACAACCTGTTTGGTAACCAGCCCTTTACCCAGAATCCTGCACAGCAGTTGGGGTCATATGACAATGAGCGATATCTAACAGGTAATGATACCAGCAATCTTTCTTATGTGACATCATGCTTATGCTTTAGTACACCTACAATGACACACTTTTTTTTTTTTCCCTCTCTGCAGAAAGGTGCAACTCTGAGGGCAGTGTCCATGGACCAGGAAGAGGAACAAAGAGATACTCTCATGAGACCCCTCCATACAATGCCCCACTGTGTCCCAAAATACCAAAGAGTGACTGCCATGCATCAGAAGGTGAGTCTTTGCAATGTCTTTTTTATTACAAAAAAAATGTTTCAACAAGGAAACTCTTTTGTGCTACTTTCGTGGAATCTTGTCCATTATTGTTTTTTGAGTCTAAAAAAAAAAAGAATCCCAAATGAAATCAATGGCTTTTTATGGCTCTAATAATTTGGGCTCTAGACCTAGAAATTTGTGCAAGTGGACCAACCTCAATAACATTGACAATACCAGTGGAAAGTTGTCAACAGGAACAAGGTTCAGGGACTCTAAAACAACTCCCAAACCTGACTTGGGGACCAATAACAGAAATACATTTCCAGACCTCTTTACACAATCACATGTGAAATAGTTTCACTGAATAACTGGCATGGCTTCGATGCTGACCAGTAGATTGAAAACATGATCTTTTTTGGTCCTTGAGGACTAGAGTTCAAAAACATTGCTTTAATGTCTCTCTATGAGATACAACTCTAGAGTGAAGATCTGGGTAACGTGTGCTTGGCCAACTTTAGCACTAGTTGGGGTTATTTAAAAGGGATCTAAAACTAAGGTGGACCTACATAGTTACATAGTATTTGAGGTTGAATAAAGACACATGTCCATCAAGTCCAACCTATTATGTGTATGGTCCTATTGGTGTGTAGTATGTATAGGTCCGTTGTGTGTTTTCAATTTTAATAGTACTTGTACCCCTGTATATTACGGTCCCTGAGGAAATCGTCCAATCGCCTCTTGAATGATTCCACACTCTCAGCCGAAATCACAGCATGTGGCAGCGAGTTCCATACCTTGACCGATCTAACTGAGAAGAATCCCCTTCGCCCCTTGTGCTGAAATTTTTTCTCCACCAATTTTAAGTTTTGGCCTCTCGTCGTTGTCATTGAGTTCATTGTAAAAAGTTTGCTGCTAATGTTACAATCCCCGGTAAACATTTTATACATGAAAATCATGTTCTCCCTTAATCTCCTTACTTCCAAGGAGAACATGTTTAATTTTAGTAGCCTGTTCTCATAACTCAGGTCCTCCATCCCTTTTATGATTTTGGTTGCCCTCCTCTGGACCCTCTCCAGTTCAAGGCCATCCCCTCTGTGTACTGGTGCCCAAAACTGGACCACATACTCCAGATGAGGCCGAACCAGTGATCTATAAAGTGGCAGAATTACGGACTTGTCCCTGCAAAACATTCCCCTCTTAATACAGGAAAGGACTCTACTTGCTTTGTTTACCCCTGCTTGACACTGCGAGCTGTTTTTCAGCCTGTGGTCTACAATGACCCCCAAATCTGTTTCCCTTTCGGACTTTCTGAGGGGAGCTCTCATTAGTGTGTAATCCGTTTTTTTGTTTTTAACCCCAAAGTGCAAAACTCTACATTTATCTACATTAAACCTCATCTTCCATGTGGTTGCCCACTCCCCCTATTATCCAGATCCCCCTGTAATGTTATAGTGTCTGATTCAGTGACTATTCCCCTCCCGATTTTGGTATCAGCAAACACTGAAACATGGCTGTTTACCCCCTCCCCAATATCGTTAATGAATAGATTAAACAGCATGGGGCCCAGCACAGACACCTGCGGAACGCCGCTCATGACCCTAGCCCAATCCAAGAAGGTGGTATTTATCAATACTCTTTGTACCCGTTCCTTTAGCCAGTTCTCTATCCATGTACACAATAATTCGTCTATGCCCATAGACCTCAGGTTGTTTATTAAATGTTTATGTGGTACCGTGTCAAATGCTTTAGCAAAGTCCAAGTATACCACATCCACCGGCCTCCCTCCATCCAGATCTCTACTTACCCCTTTGTAAAAAGTTAGCAGGTTAGTCTGACAAGAACGGTCTTTCCGAAATCCATGCTGGTTGTCATTTACTATGCCATTTTCCCGAACAAATTCTACTAGGTGGTCCTTAATCATGCCCCCTAACACTTTACAAACCACCGATGTAAGACTAACTGGTCTGTAGTTTCCCGGTTGCCATCTGGACCCTTTTTTGAATATCGGAACTACCGTAGCCCTCCGCCAGTCAATTGGCACTCTGCTAGTCATTAAGGAATCTTTAAAAATGATGAATAATGGTCCCGCTATAACCTGGTTTAGTTCTTTAAGTACCTTGGGGTGCAGGCTATCTGGTCCTAATGCTTTATTTGCATTAAGTAGTTCTAGTCTGTGTTGTATCTCGGTTTTTGTCAACCACTGTGGAATATTTTGAGATGAACTATGTGCGTTCTTATCTACATTAAACCCGTCTTTTTCCTGAGTGTATATTGATGAGAAGTGCTCTCCCAGTGCTGCCATTCCTAATGCCAGAAAATTGAGGAGGCCCAATGATGACTTACAAATTAAGTTTAATCTGCTTATATTTTGCCTTTCTGTCCACCTTTCAACATTCCAATTACATTTTTAAATGACCAAGCAGATCATGACTGGTGGGAGAGGCCTGCAGGGTGCTGTCATGTTTTCAGGAAGCTATGTACAGCACACTGCTGGTTGCCTCAGTGCTCCTTTCAAAAGCCCTCAACTATGATGCAAGCAGTGGGCTCCTAGGAGGAGCTAATGCAATTGTTAAAATGCCTTGATGGGTGAATGTCTGTCTGGAGGAGTGGGTGTTCCTAGGTAGAGTGCATTTCCATGTATACCACCATAAGTAATACCCACATGTGATGCTGTGCTGCCATGATTGAAAGAACTGAAGCCCAATGAATCAAAGGGGTGGGCCACCAATGGTCAGTCTAGGGAGAAAAGAGCTAGAATATACTGGAGATTCTCAAGCCAGGAAATGAGGCTTACAGCGTGCAGTGAAATTAGAGAAAGCACTTAGTACAGGAGCAGGGAGAGGAGTCTGTACAACTGTGCAAGACTCAAGGTAAGGCCAAAGTTTAGATTTAGCAGCGCAGGGGAACCTTAGTGGTTGACACTTGTGAGATCCTGACCATTGCATTAGGTGACTGGGCATTAAAAATCTATTCAACAGATGCTGGGAATAAAAGAAATGGGCTACAGTTCAGTTCAGGGGACTCCCTCCTGAAGCACTAGGATGGCATAGCAGGGGGTCCATATGTTTATGTCCTCTTGCTACAGAAGTACTAGTCCATGTGCCAGGTGTGTTGGGTGGCATCAAGTAGGGTAGTGGCGACGTGCATTTATTTTTTGTACAGTACATTTTTGTTGTTGTTAATGGGAAATCAGCCATGATTTGGGAAATATTTGTTTATACTGTATTAGCTATATGTGAACTGAACCAGCGTGAACCTCAGAGGTCAATTTATTAAAATAGCCGTTGTCTCATCCAAAATCTCTTACTAGAAGATGTATAGAATATATATAGAATGAATATAGAATAAATATATGTCGAATATATAATTTTGTTGTGTTGCTTTTTATTTCACTACAGGAGAAACGTTCCTACAGGATGCTGGTCTTCCAGGGTCTGTGGAGCAGCGTTTGGGTCCAGGAGACTCTCCCAGCAGTCCAAACACATGTAGAATCTCCAGGGAATATCGATCTCCGGCATACAGAAACCACCACCAGCCTAGCAGTCTCTCACAGGGAGGCGTGCGTAGGCTGAGTTCAGCTGGTAAGTACTAATGAGATTCCTATAGACTAGACGGTACCCACCTGACACTTATTAGTTAATTTACTATGTGTACAGTATTAATGCACTTTAAGTGAAAAAAATATATAGCTTTACAAAGTTCCTGTTTGAAATCTAATGGTATTAGTTCCTTACATGGAGATATTCAGGTTTCAGTTCATGGTGTTTGACCTCTTAAGCACAAAAAAAACCATTATGTACCATTTCATTGATGTGCCAGTGGTGTTGATACAATGTGTCAAAGCTCATGGTAGGTTTAAAGCGACTAAAATAAAAAGATCTCCATATAAAGAAAAGACTTCAATATAATGAAAAGCAGCAGACTAGGCAGCAGGACAAGCAAATATTAAAGAAATACTGCTGGTTGAAGCGTTTTAGTCATAGAGATAAAATATGTCTGCATCTTAACCAAGTTCCATTTCAGCTATAATCTGGTGCACTGAAAGCTACATACCCGTTGCCTTTTGTGCATCTACCCCTACCAAAGTGCAGATTGCTGATTCCAACCATCTTCTTTTGTTTTTCTCCATTACCTCTAGAGTCAGAGAGGTACGCTAACAGTCGGCAAGGGCCTCGTGATCCTTCTCAGTGGAACATGGAAGACGTAATGCAGTTCATCAGAGAAGCTGATCCACAACTCGGATCCCATGCTGAGCTCTTTCGTAAACACGTGAGTTATATTTGTTGTAACAAAGCTTTTCAGTCACCGCTTTGGTTTAGCATTGGCTGTATCAGTTTCAGGGTTGGTGCAGTGTATGAAGAGCAACATGGCTTGTCTGTAGGTTAGCTAGTAATGGTTATAGACTCTGCCTTCATAAGGCTGAAGCACAAAGTAATGTTGGCTATTTCACTTTTATTGGGTGATTTCTGGGCGATTTTACAATATTTCTTTGGTATTGTTTATAGAGATGAACATTCATTATGATGCTATTAAATAATCTAAATTTACATTTTGGAAACTATTAGAAAGGTTTCTGCTAAGACTGGAGATGGCTTAATTTAACATTTGCTTTGGCGTCTCAAGCTGTGAGGGCTGTTATAAGCCTACACCCTAAAGCAGACACCAAGAAGTACTTGCTGTCTGGGGAGTCAGTGAGGAGTGATGCTGTGCCTGTGTCCACTACCAGCACTGCATAATGGCTGAAGCACAAGGCGGCATTCTCCCATTTGTTCATGGGTGCAAAGCTTTGTAATGTTCCTGATTTAAAGGAGGGGCTGAGCCAGCTGTCAATCACGCAGCTGGGTGGATCTCGACAGTAATATCGGCATTTGTCCCGGCTGCGGCGGACTCAGTATACCGCTGGCTTTAGCTCGCGGTATACTGAGCTTTGGGTCACAGGGGGACACAGCTGGGCGGATCCAGACATAATTGTCGGGATCCGTTTCAGCTGTGGCGTCTCAGCATACCGCGAGCTGTACTGAGCTTAGGGTGACGGGAGGACGCTAGTTTATGTCCTCCCGTGACCCTTAGGAGAACTATGGGGAAAAGCACTGACCCCATTGTTCTCTTTTAAGACCTGCACAGTATTGATGTGCTGAGAAGTGGCCCCATATGGGTCTTATTTTTTTTTTTTTTGTAAATTCTTCAGATATGTATGACTGTTAGGACCATAGGGACCCTATAAAGTGTTTTTTGTTAGTTTTGCACAATGACAGGACAATCCTTGAAATCCACCAAGCATTATTTACATCTAAATAGTGCAATCTTCTGCTCTAAACTAGGCTTTCCAGCCGCAGCCTCATTTCTAATAAACTAGATATTGTAAAACCATTTGAAAAAAAAAAAATTCAGAGATTTGAAGATGTGGAAGAAAAATCTGATTGTTCTTGTTTGGTTAAAGAGCACAAAGCGCTGCGCATAGCTGTGCCAGTCTATAATGCTGTCCCCTTCCTGTCTTCTGCACATTCTTGTTGGCTAATAAGGCAGACCATCATAGTAATAGGGCCAATTGGAGTGTGTGAGAGGGGGAGGTAGCGGCAAATGCAAAACTACCCAGAAGAACTATCCTACATTCAAAGTAAAAGCAGGGTATGTTCTGTGGTTTCATTTACCAACGCCTACATCGTACAGGACATAGTGGTGACATACAGGTAGGCAGATTGAACCAGGGCCCTCAGCAGGGGACCAGGCATCCACACATCTGGAAGTGTTTTGGAGGCTGAAGATTCTTCACCCTTTGTAGCTCTTCAAAACAGTAAAGATCGGCATTATGGCAAATCTATGCTGGTTATGTGGCTTTGATATCCATCACTTCTCTCTCATTAGTTATTTTTATCTCTCCTATTCAGGAAATAGATGGAAAAGCCTTGCTCCTTCTGAGAAGCGATGTCATGATGAAATACATGGGGCTAAAGTTGGGTCCTGCCCTGAAGCTGTCTCACCACATAGACAAATTGAAGCAGGGAAAGTTCTGACCGTGAAAAGGGGCCCAGTTATCGCTCACTGAATGGTCATGTATTGGACTGCCTCAGCAACTTTTTGTAAAGTCACTTTTCAAGAATTACGTCCCCATTTTATGGGGCATTTCACACATTGTTGACTTTTCAAGCTACAAATTCCCAGTTTCTGAGATGCTCCTCCAGTCCTGTGAACTTGTCCTTTATATTTCACAATATTGGGAGATAAAGACTTTATACTTTTGGATGGCCTTTTGGTTGTCCTTCTCCTTGATTAAATCCATATGATACTTTTCTTATCTTATATAGCACTGGCAGTGCACACGGCGCTGTACATAGTAGAATAAATGAGGCACAATGAACTTTTGGCCGGAAAATTTTTGAATTTGATGCTTTGTTAGGTTACCGAAAATCCACTTTACGTCTTGTATATGGGATAAAATGAAGGGGTCGCCAATATATGTATTAATAAATTCAGATCCAATTACACAGGCTTTGTGCATAAATGGCATTAATCTGATGTTTCCCAATTCAATTCCTTAGGGGATGCTAACAGTACGGTTTCCAGACTTTGTGCCGTTTTGCTTCATTTTAACCGGAGTGGAAAACTCCTGCGATTGGTCACAGATTGTTAATGGTCAGTCTCACTAGCCTTCAACCTGGGCTCTGAGAATTCAGCTTGTTGTAATGTCTGAGGCACTTATTTGCATGATAGCTGACAAAAAAAACTCACTACTGAATAAACAACCAGTTACTAATACAGACACAAGGAAATGTATGAGCAGGTTATAGACAAAACTCCATGTAACCAGTTGCATTATTTTAAGACATTTTGCAGTTCATCTCCACAGTGGATGTAAAAGAGGAAGCTGCATAGTAATATAATGACCCTACAGAAATGTTTTTGCTGCATAGAACACTTGATTTTAGGATTACACTATCTATGGCAGGTGGCTTTTGGTTGCACATATAGTCTGACTTCATATTGCCGGTTTGCCTGTCTATTAACTATAGTGGGCCTTGAGGACATTATTGTGATAGTCTGCATTATGGTGTGTATGAAGCAGCATGCAAAAAATCGGCACCATTTTGAAACATTTTGAAATCTATAATTGTCGCACCGACGATCTTAACTCTTATCTTGTTTTAGAATCCATTAACTGTCATTGTTACCGTGGTCTGTGTGTAAATGCTGTCACCAGGTGTGACTGGGGCCTTATCATACAATTATTGTTTTCTCTCTTTCCTTCAAGTTTGCCTACACTTACACTTTAAAATGTTAGGTAGAAACTGCAAAATACATGTATACTTTGTTTGCAGTTAAGCCATTTTACAAGATCCTGACCATTTACTTTTCTTCACCACACAATCAAGACAATACAGCTTGGTTAAGACTGATTTGGATAGTGAAGTAACAGCAGGTCACCGATGAGGTCATCTCCATGCTCTGCCATCCAGTCGGCAAGCTCAACGTGTTAGAATCAGTGTTGTGAGATGCAGTAAAGACTGACATATTAAAGGAGAACTATGGGGTCAGTGTTTTTCCCCATAGTTCTCCTTAGGGTAACGGGAGGACACAAACTAGCGTCCTCCCGTTACCCTAAGCTCAGTATACCGCGAGCTACAGCTCACGGTATACTGAGACGCCGCAGCCGGAGCGGATCCCGACTTAGATGACGAGATCCGCCCAGCTGCGTGAGTGACAGCTGGCTCTGCCTATCTAGAGGCAGAGCCAGCTGTACCCGCCCCGTCCGTTCCGCCAGTCAGCGCTGGCAGATCGGAGAGGGGAATCCAGCCCCTCCCCCTGTCACGGCAGAGAGCCGTGACAGGATCGAGAGGTGAGGGAACCCGGTATGTGTTCGCTCACCTCCCGATCTACTGAGCCGACCTGTGACAGTCTCATTGTCACAGGTCGGCTAGAACTATCAGGTGAGTGAAAAGCGCTCCTCATAGTTCTCCTTTTAAGAGTGCTGCCCTCTCCTCTTCCAGTTTGAATGATGTGTGCAGGGAGGTAAAGCAGGCAAGCACAAAAGACAGACTGAGATGGTATTTATAAATACAAAACCCTGGATTAAATGGGAGGTAAGGGAATTCTATCTGCTTACACTTTAATGACCTGTATAACATCACCCAGGTCTGAAACACAACGACTTTTAATAGCCCCTTTAATTTACATTAGGGAATGCATAATATGAATCTATCATTTTTGCCTCTTCAAAATGGTCTGGCAGTGTTGCTCCTTACTGCTACAACTTGAGAGCTGATCTAGTGGTGAATAATTAAGATGGCTGGATGTCATCTTTACTACTTTGTATATCTTGCTTGTCTCCATATTGACCAGGTCACACCTAAATGCTGTTCTTGTACCCACATTTGACATGGCTGCAGTGTAGATTCTCTAGAGAATGGAAGGCAGTGTCCTTGAAAGGGGACTGTCGGAATGGAAGTTGCATGTCACACATTTAATGTATTTGCTAGAAGGGCTTTCATAAGCTCCCTGGATTACAGTAATATATCAAATAAGTTATCTGTAACTTGTGCACCTTTTGCTTGAGCCCTGCGGCAATAGCAACTTCGCTTTTGTCACTCTTGAACATTAATACTTCACCAGGTCTAACAAAATGTGGTGGGCACAAATGGAACCCAGTGGCTAGTTTTCCATTCATTATTATTATTCAGGGTAAGAAGAAACTTGAGTGATATCTTTCTACTCTCGTACCACGGCCACATTTCAGGCAGCCTCTTTCCTCAGCTGACATCAATCTTGAAGAAAATCTCTGCAAAGTGCCGTTTGTGTCTAAAACTTTTTTTTTTATATGTCCGTTCAAAGATGAATGTTGTTAGGGTCAACAGGCTTCTTTTTTTTTTTGGCTTCAAGTTGGTTTTGCATTCCCGTACAAATCTATGGGAATGACAGTTCTGCTTGAAGGAGATTAACTGCAGGTAAAATGTCAGAGAATTCTGAATGATCCGAGAAGTGACTCACACTAATGCCATCGACACAGGCCCTTAGGAAAATGTTTTTTTTAATTATAAATATGATAAACCAGGCCACTCCCCTTTAACACACTGGACCATATTTTTGTGATATTGGATAGAGGGATGAAGACTTTCTTCAGGTTTTTTTTTTTTTTTTTAATACTATAAAACACATGTACAAAGGTTGCGGGTGATTTTCAGTAATCTATAGAAATCACTTTTAAAATTGTATAGGGGCTCCATCTAAAATGCAGTTCTGCTTTTTTGAATAGAATTGTATTTTCATTGAACCTGACCCTAAAAAATTTTCTTTCCACTTGACTGTGGTAACTGCTACCAGAAGACCATACACAGGGGGTAAATATGGGGTTTTTTGTTTTGCCTTTCTCTGGACCAAAACTTTGACTTAAAGCGTATGTGAGAGGTTGCATTTATTCTTTTAACCTAAAACCAATTTAGCACATTTAAAGTAATAATAAGCACTATGGAAAATTCCAATGCTTGATGTAAGTCCTCATGTAGTCTTAAGTGAAGAAAAGGATAACTGAGATTGAAGCTTTCGTACGTGGCAGGCGATGCCTCGGGTTAAGATTTTCAACCACTTAACCTTCTGCACTTGTACACCCCTTATGAACCTGCGCAAGTTTTACGTTTCCGCTATGGGCCTATTGATTTGGCAATAACTTTTTACTTTTGATAATGAAGTCATACATACTGTATATCATTTGTTGGGGACAAGAAGGGCTGTTCTTGGCATTACTGCCAAAATATTTTCTATATATTCTGACAAAAAGATGTGTAAAAAATTTTTGTTCTAGTTTGACCAGTGTTAGTTTTCAAATAATTAGTGTTATGTTACTGTAGATAAAAAGTGCAAACTTTATTATGTAATTTTTCCCGTCTATATTGACACTAAAATGACTTGGTACAAAGACTTGCAAACTTATTTGCAAATGAAATAAAGGCTTTTATTAATTTTGTGTTTTTTTTAATTTTCTTTTTAACACTGTCATTAACAAGTGATGCAAACAAGAGCTAAAAAAAAAAAGTTTACATATGAATGGTAAATATAAATAGCTAACAGGAGTAGAAGAGAAATGAATTTAAAATTGAACAGCGTTAAAACTAAAGCTTTAAATGAGACTAATTTTTTCACCACTTACAAAATTGCCGAGACTGATGTTGTGTAGGATCAGAGAACACACTTTAATTTTTTGGTTAGAACACCTTTTCATGTTTTTATTGCTGGTGGTGTACCCATTGGAGATGTACTACTTTTTGTCCTAATGACCCAACAGGAAGTATGGAAATCTAAGGAGGTACAACAAAATCCTGCCACGTTTAAATCCAAACGTGTTGGAGATTGCTAGAATAGTGCTTTTTCTTGATTTTTACATCTCGGGTCATAAATAATTTACCTTTCTAACCACAGGAATATGCAAACACTGGCAAATAAATCAAAGCTGCAGGACAGCGCTGCATAATCTCTCCCACTCGGAGGCTGTCTGTTTTTTTCTTTATTAGCTTCCTTAGGTGTTGAATACCTTCTCTCATCCCTAACAAAAAAAAAAGTGCACTCTTTCTTTATTTAATCTACAAGACTCCTCTTCTAGCAAGTTTCTTTATGTCCTGCAGCTGCATCCATGGTGAGGACCAAAAGCCACTGATGTAAATCGCAGCCTTGGCCCCCCAGATACCCAGAAAGCAGCCCCAGTTAAGTCTGTGGCTCTGGTGAAGCTCTTGTCACACCCTTAGCAGTCTTTAAAATTTTTTATTTTATTTGGTGCCAGTTTAATTCCCTTGTGGCCTAGGAGCCATGGACTATGCCTGTGTAACGTAATGACCCTGCCATTAGGGCTGCAGCTAACAATTTCATAATTGATTAGTTAGCTGAGTATTAAGTTCGATTAATTTAAAAAAAAAAAAAAATTATACAGTCATTTAAAATAAAATACACATACAGCATAACAGACAAAGTTTA